TGGAGAAATAAGAGAAAATAACCCAAAACCAATTTATTTTCATTTTTTAAATTCCCAAATATAATTATTACCACAAATATATATATATGAGACAAATAATTTTTTTTAAGTGACGTCATTAATGCATCCGAACGGAAAAAAAATTAAACCAACGTTTACCATTATCATCATCATCATCATCGTCTTCATCATCAATATCATCGTCATCGTCATCATCATTGCCGACATCAACGTCATCGTCATCGTCTCAGTTTCATCATTATCATTGTCATTAGTTTCATCATCTTCGCCATAATCATCATCATCATTACCGGCATCATCATTTACATCATCATCATCAGCATCATCATCATCATCATCATCATCATCACCACCACCACCACTACCAACAACACAATCATCATCATCATTATTATCATCATTATCACTACCACTACCGACACCGTCATCATCATTATCAACATTGTCTTCATCATCAACATTGTCGCATCGTCGTCATCATTATCATCATCAACATCATCAATATCATCATCATCATTAACACAATAATAATAATAAAAATAAAAACAAAAATCGCGACCGTTTAATAACAACTTCCGGTTTTTTTTCCATTATCCTTAATTTTTTTTTTTTTTTAATGTAAAGTTTCATTAAAAAGTTTAAAAAAAGCATAAGAGACAAGGCAACGTCGCATTATTGGGTAGGAGAGAGTAAAGAATAAAAAACAAAATCGCATCGCGCATAAAAAATAAACTGGCGCGTTTATTTACTCTATGCGGTATTTTTCATATTAAATAATAATAAAAGTAACTAATGAATATTATTAGCGGTTTTACCAACTTTTGATAAAAATAAAATAAATAAATAAAATACTCGCGTTTATGGTTAAATCGAAAACTATTAATTAAAAAGTTTTTTTTACATTAGTTTACATTAACAAATAGTAAGTAAATTATACATTTGAGAATAAGAAAAATTTTTCCACTTTTGAAAACCCCATAAATATTTAATCATATTTATTTAAACTCTATTTAACCTTATGTAAAACCTTAATTAAAAGATTTTTTTTTTTTTAATATAGATTTTCCGATTTCAAAAACCAGTTTATCATTATTATTATTATTATTATTAAATGTTTTAAACTTTTAAAGTTATTATAAATTAATAATAATTTAAAACTTGTAAAATATGAAAAGGAATAAATTTATAAAAAAAAAAACTCAATATTCAAAAATATTCATTAAAAATTCATTCATATTAATTTACTCTGTCATCGTTTGTATACAAACCACCGGATATCATCCTACCATAATAATAATAATTATTATATAAAATGGTACATATTAATTGGAAGAAGGATTCGATAATAAGTAAATTAAATTTATAAGGATGTTGTTGTAAATGGAAAACTAGAATGTGTTTCCCGTTTTTGAAAATCTAAAAGTCTATTATTATTACAATCATGAAAAAATTATTTTTAGACATTTTTAAAATTAAACAGGAAGTCTCTCTCTTTCCGTTTGAAATCCGTTTGAAAATTTGAAAAGTCACCGCCATTGAAATTTCGTCGTAGTAGTGACGAAAATAATAAGAAATAAAGATGGCGCGAGTGTGAAACGGTCGACATGACGCGTTTACGTCATGTCGACTTTTTATAATTAATTTTTATAGTTTTTTTTTTTAAGTCTACTTACAAATTATATATCAAAAGTTTTGTTATTTAATCTAGTTTATTGTGATGTAATTAGTATTTTATATTAAGTTGTGATAATTGTATTATTTTATGTTTAAATAGTCAACGGTATCATGTGACAAAAGGAAGCATGGGCTAGAAAAACTTTAGAAGATGCCTTAGTGAATGTGAGTTAAATGTATAAGTACCTCATTTTAAAACTTATATTTCACTTGCAAAAAAGTTAGGTTAACAATGAAATGCAACAAATACACAAAAAGAACAAAAAAGTTTAAAATTTTACATTTATTTAATTAATTATGAGTAGTTTGACTAAATATCTTTTTCATTTCATCATAAAAAACAAGATGTGGGAGTTATTTAATAATAATATTTATTAATAATGATTGATTTGATATATATATAATAACTCGGTGTGCAAATTTCTATACTCTCTAATCTTTAAGGGTTAATTTACTGATTGTTAGTTGTTTTAAGCCTTTTCTTGATTTAGTTTGTCTCATTACAACATAGTATATCATAGAGATAGTGTAATACTTCCTTTAAATCTGTATCAAAATCAGGAAACATTAGTAACCTTTACAATAGGTGATTTTAGTGTAAGGAATTATGAAAAGGCACAACAGATTGAATTTATTAATTTTACATTTATTCGGTTAATTATAAGTAGTTGAGCTACTAATATCCCTGTCACACTAAATGAAAATGGTGGTAGTTTAATAAAAATACTTGTAATTAGTTAATTTATTGTATCAGGTGGATGTAAAATCTCTGTACTCCTGACTTTATGTGTGAATCTTTTTGATTGAACTTTAACCCTTTTCTTAAGTTAGTTTGTTTCTTTATAATATATTTTCCTTTATGTTTAGTTTAAAATTCTCTTTAATTTCAATTAAGATAAGAAAAATTCTAAACTGCCTTCAGATTACTTAAGTTTATTGGTACAAATTTGTAATTTGTATACTGTGTGCATAAATTAAGGATGTGAATGCATGAGGGAAAATTATGAAAGGGGGAAATTAAGAGATGAAATAGTTCTGAGGAAAAGGTTATATGATGACTGATTCATAATTGTATTAGAGCAAAATGAGAACAAGATAAAGACAGAATTTAAAAAAATCTTGTTCTATTGTCAACCTTAGTCAGCTCTTGATAAGGTTGTGAATCTCACTTCTTCTCCTGTTCTTCCTGGTTCCACTCCACAGAGATGTCAATGCCTCGAGCCCAGGAATACAGGAATTAACTCGTTTCCATCAAATAAGATGGTCTCAGTGAGACTTAAAAGAATTGTTGTGATGCTGTTTAGGTTATAACAAGACAAAAACTATTCATCAGGCATGCAGCATTACTAATAATCCTTAGGAATTTGGTATAAACCTGAAATAAATGTTTAAAAGCTCCCACAATTACACAAAATCTTACCGTTTTCAAAACCGAAAATAATAATAATGATAATTTTAATTTAATTAGATTAAAAAGAAGGTAAAGGCAAATTGTTATCACATTCAACGACCCTCGTTTTACCCTGTTTAAAAATTCCAGGTACGGTCTTTAATTGATTTCCTACCACAATAAATAGGATAAGAAATTATGATTTAAATTTTCCAGGATTTGGAAAAAGCGAATGCAAGAGAGCAAATGAAAAATAAAAAAAAAATTCCAGCTTTTTTTTTGGGGGAAATATCAAAAATTGAGACAAAAGACACGTGTAGAGATAAATAAAAACAGACGAAAATTATTATTATTATTATCAATATGAAGAAGTAAAAGTTTTAGTTTATGTGATAAATGAGTATAAAATATGTTGTTGTTGTTGTTGTTGTTGTTTTTAAGTTTTTTTTTTTTTTTTTAAATAAAACTTTATCTCTTTTAAATAACTCGAACAACATATTTCAACAAAAAATTTATTTATCTATTTATAATTATTAAACCGTAATAAAGTTTTAATAAAGTTTTTCAAGTGTAACAAAAAAGAAAAAAAAAACATAATAAACATAATAAACAAAAAACATGTTTCGTTTTTATTAAAAAAAAAAAAAATTACGCTACGTTACGCGCGTTTATATGATTTTTTTTTTTTTTCGTCACATCTGGAAAATTTTTTTTAAAAAAAAATTTTTCCATTTTTTTTTTTTTATATGCGTGAGTATAAACGAGTTTAAATTATTCATACGTCCACAAATCCCATTCGTTTTATATTAAGGTTTAGGTACCGCCGTCACCACCACCGCCACCAACCCCAACACCATCATCATCATCATCATTAAACTTTTTTTTTTTTTTTTGTATTTGTTTCAATAAGGGAAAATTTCTTTTTCTTTTATTTCTTCTTGCAAAACCTTTTCCCGTTTACAAAAAAAAAAAGAAAAAGGGAATTTACTTTCCATTTCCTTTTTTTCCCCCTCTTCCTTTCTTCCTTCCTTCCTTCTTTCTTTCTTTTTTAACTCTTTCCAAAATCCAGCCACTCCAGAACTTAAGAAAATTCTTAAATGTAAAAAAAATATAAACTTTTTTTTTTTTAAATTTACAAATAGATAGAAAGGAAGAAAAAAAAGAAAAACTTTCGCGAGAATACAAGAAAAAAGAAAAGCAGAAGACAAAATAAAATTTATTTTACCTGGAAAAATCTAGAAAAACAATCCGTTACGTCTAAATTTTTTTTTTTTTTTTTTTGTAAAATTCTCGTAAAATTATTTATTACTAAGGATAAATTCATAAATTCCCTTAAAATAATAATAATAATAATAATAATAATAATAATTTCATTTTCAATTTTCCCTTTACTAATTACATTTAATTTTAAACGGTAATGACGTAAGCATAACGACGACCGGAAATACGTGTACAATAAAATGAAATAATGTAAATTATTGAAAATCGATAATCGTGCGCTCTCTCTCTCTCTCTTTTTTTTTTTTTTTAATAAAAATTAATTTATTTCTATTATTATTATTATTATTATTTATTTTACTTTTTTTTCGTAATCGTAAATTTCTATTAAATATTATTATTATTATTAACGATTCGCCATTGATTCGAAAGGGAAAATCGTTTTTCGTTTGTCATTAATTAATTATAGGAGGTAACACGAGGAAATGAGAGAAAGAGAGAGAGAGAGAGAGAGAGAGAGAGAAAGTAGGTGGAAACGAGAAAAAGAAACAGAGAGAGAAAGAAGGAGGGAAAGAGTATGAGAAAATGAAAGTGAGAGAGAATATGAGAAAACGAGTAAAAGAAAAAAAGGTAGAAAGGGAAGGGGGAGGAGGAGAAAAAAGCGGGAGAGTGAGGAGGTTAAATTCGTAGAAAGAAA